TGCCGGCAAGGTTAGGAGTCCCGAGGGGAGAAGAGCACAGCGCAGATCGATGTACGGCGACATGCCGGCAGCTTAATGCAACCCGCCGCATTGAGGACCCAGCGTGGACACCGCCACGCTGGCTGGTGTCCCCCCCTCCGGGCATACGGCCGGCAAGAAGGAAAACCAATCCGGTGTCACTGAGAACGAACATCGACGTATGTCGGCGTCCCGGTGGCTCCACACGGCGTGACTGGTCGGGACGCCGCGGTCCTGCCCGTTTCTACGCAAGATGCTGCGAGAGCAGGGCTGGACCTGTGAAAAATACTGCAACTTCATTCGTCCCGTGTTGCTCCGGCAAGGGATCACTGAAGGCCAAGACAAGACATAACGACGTACGTCGACTGTCACAATCGGGGTGAGCAGAGATCACCGGGCAGAGCCGGACGTCTCATCGGACTGCCAGCTGTCTAGCAGGCGTTGCATGTCGCCCATTCGGGGAAGTGATTCTCGTTCATAGGTAAAGCATCTGGTAATTTCGGGCAGTGTACATTTGCTTCAAACGTGAAATGGGAATCGTGGTCCTCTATGAAGGTGTGGCATGAGCTCTGTGGAAATGCAGCGAAGTTGGAGGCCGGGCCCGAGACCCCCTTCTCTGAGGAACTCATCCGCCGCCGCCTTCCAACGTTCCTGCGCCTGAGGGTGCCCTAGCCGGAACCTTGGGCGCGTGCCATCAGGCAGAGCTTGTGTGCGGCCTTCCTCCTGGGCGACCAACCTTTGAAGGAGGACCAACGCTTTGGCCTCCGTTGCGTCGAAGTGTGCAAAGCGCCACAGGCGGGTCGGAAAATGGAATTTCTTTTTCTGCGGCCCACGGATCCAGTAGGCAACTACCGCACGGAGATCCCAGCCTCCAGAGGTTGTCACTGCACGGAGGCGCCACAGGGCACTGTGAGTTGGGGGCTGAGCACGTTGCCCCCCAGCGGAACATCCGCCAGCGGGAAAAGCAGCCGAGAGGTGCCACGATAAAGAAGTCCGGATACGCAAACATGCGCGGTTCGAACTCTTCGCGTCTGGCTGGGAGAAGTCCATTCTCGAAGCCTCCATCACGCGGCCCGCGATGGCAATCTGCGGACGGCCGATCAAGTCAACAGGAACCTTGCATGATTCGGACTTCAATATGCTGGCCATCTCGCCCAGGAGTTACACTGGTGAGCTGCAGAAGTGGGGCGGACGATGGGTCGTCGGCCAACGGGGAATCCGACGCTGACAGCCAAGCTACGCAGCCAAAGCTGTGCGGCCTCTCACCCAGTTGCACCTACCGCTACATGCACTCAACGTGTGGAGGACCTACTGGGCGCGGTCAACTCCCCGCCTGATCGCCTTGTGCTAGAGCACCTCAATTGCCAGCAGGTGTGTGCCAGCTGACACCCTTTCGCCGTTTCCAAGCTAGAGGCAGACTTCAACAGCCGGTCAGCTGCGCTGGAGCACTTCAGCAATTACTCCCCAGCTCTCCGGACTGCCTTGCTCTGCTTTCCTTCCCCTTGTCGTTGCCGGCTTGTGAACTGAAACTCAGTCCACAGAACTTTGGGGTGAAAGTTCTTTGCCTAGGATGTCAACGCACCTTTTTTTTCAAGGGCACCCTATGCAGCGTGGGGCACCACACTGATCGATGTGAGCGGCACGTTCTGGCTGTTGCGCTGGATGCGCGGCAGTCAACATTGTCCCTTTTCTGCTTTCCGAATTGCTCGAGAGCGGCGGAAGTCGGACACACCCGATGCTGCGCTCCTTGCGACCATACGAATGCGGAGACGTACACCTCTGAGCAGCGTCAGCGCCATCTAGCCAGCAGGCATGCCTACACTGGTCGGACAGCAATGGGCGCCAACCACCACTCACGAGAACCAAGGGCAGGAACCTGCAGGTCTTCCGGCTTCTGGAGCAACCGTGACGACTTGCCAATGGCCGACGGGGAGAACTCCAGCGGCGAACCACCGGGGGAGGCAGCACTGTTGCCGAGGACAACAAGGGACTCTGCTTCTGCATTGTGGAGTACTGCTGCCGGTGCAATTTCCTTACCCGTGGCCCCTGCGGTGTTGACTGAGAAACCTCTCAGTGCCGCGGCAAGGCGTCCCGGGGAAGACAGGCTGCGGGGCCAGTTGGGCGACGCCACGGATGCCACTGGCTTGGCAATGAGTGCCAGGGTGCGTACTTGGACCTCGCGCAGAACCCTGTGTGAGCAGCAACATGTGAGCACTGCCAACTGAGAGGGATGTGAGACGGACGTTGCGCCTCGTGGATCCCAGCTGAGTCGTGGCAATCTCTCCTAAGCCGGCCGCTTTGTGTTCAGCAGCGTCGGTGAAAGGCACATGATCAAAAGATGGGTCGATCATTTCGGCATCGCCAGACACCTTACGCACAACGACAAGCGGGCGCCCATTGTGGAGCATCGACCAACAGGTTGGAGGCAATACGGACAACAGCAATGAGCGCAGAATGCTGCTGCGCCGTCCAGAATACCGTTTGCTCCAGAACAGCATCCAGACAGACGAGGGCGCACCACAGAGAGAAAGTTTTGGATGAGCCAGCACAGTCCAGGATGCTGAGAGAGCTGCGTTCTTGTGCCCGGGCGGCTAGAATGGCTGTGATGTGTCCGCTTAGGGGGCCATCCGGGCTGTTCAGAAGCTCAGCAATGTGGCGACAAAAGAACTGTCCATCAGGGCAGCCAACGCGTGCAGCTCTTCTGGGAGCGATGCCGGAAGGCGCCAATTGCTGCAGAACGGCTTCCGATGGTGTTTGCCTGAATCTAGCCCTGGTCGCCTCCACCAGGCTGCTGGTTGACCTTTATCTACTGATCACGGCCGTTCGTCACCCTCAATCCATCAGTATGCACATTTTGAGTACTTGCAGGAACACGTCGAGAGCGCCACCAACCTTAATGCAAGACATACTTTGGAGGGAAAGGTCCCAGCTGCAGTCCTGGCCAGGTTGAGGGGCGGCCCCGAGAAAGAATGGCCACTGCCGGATGAGTAAAAGCGCAGCAGTATGGTTGAGGCGGTTGTGACGCGTGTTTTGCCTTTCAACCGGTCAGGAACGATCAAATCCACAAATACCGCCATCAGTTGCCCTCGCTGGAAGGTAAGCTGCAGAAGGCATCCCTCAGTGGGAGGCCGGTTAGCGCTTTGTCGATGCGAGAACCAGCCAGTGTCCTCCGTAGGCGTGTAGCCGTGGGGACACGATAAGCCAAGCACGTATGTGCCAAAGCTGAGGCAGTCTTCAACCTTCAGCACCACCGGTAGACCCCGTGCAAAACGCCTGGTTGTGTCATGGTGCGACATCCGAGGGTTCTCCTGCTCAGTGTCCTCGAGTGCGGCGCCTTGGCTATAGACATGGAAGTGCAGGAAATCCACGACCCGCTCGAGCGACAGCCCATTGAGGGACGTTTGCACTGGTGCCGGCAGAGGCAAGCTGACTGGAGTATTCTCCTCATAGCACCGCAACCGCACTTCCTGAATGATCCATGTCCGCAGCGCAGTAATGCAGTGTGGCAGGGAGGCTGTGGTTACGGAGCGAACCGCGTCGCAAAGGGGTTGCGGCAAGGAAGCTACCGTGCCTAGCTTTTTGAGTAATGCCACGGTAACACGGTGAGGGAAAAGGGCAGTCATGACCTCCCCAACCTCACTATCTACCAGTCCCCGACTACGGTAGAAGTGCAGAGCATGGAAAGCCCATTCCAGTTCCTTGTCCATACTACGCAGGGGGAGATAGGCGCGTGCGGCAGTAACATTGTGAAAATCCCATTTGACCTTGGATGTCCTGAAGTTTTCGGCATGCCTGAAGCTGTGAGGAGTGCTTTTGAGTTAGGAAGTGACTGCACGTTCGTTTCGTCTCGTTTCGTTAGTGCTTGAAGTGTTTTGCTTGGAGACAGACAGCTGCAAGGTGTTTCACTGTCAGTCAGAGCCCGACGCGACTCCGCTTTGGCTCAAGAAAAAGACCGAGGGCTGCGCGCTCTGTTTTTCACATGGTAGCGGAGCTCCTGAGGACTTATAGAAGGAGCTTTACAGCGCCATGGCCTCGCCCTTGCAAGGTGGGAGTAGTGAGACTCCTGCTCAGAACGTCCCTGTGCCTGAGGAAGGCATGGACTTCGACCTGTTTGGACCAGGACCCGTGGGACCTGTAGGACCTGTGAACAGTCCTGTTGGGTCGCCGACAGCTCAGCAAGCAGCAGCGGCTGCACCTGCGAGTGGTTCTGCAACAGTGCCAGAAGGTGTGAGTGGTCCGGCTGTAGCGCCGGTGGCTCCTGCTCAGTGTCCGGTTCCTCCGAACCCCGCGTTGGGAGGTGAACAACTGCAGCAGTTGATGTTGCAGATGCTGAACAACCAGAACACGGCTTTGCAGCAACAGCAGAATCAGATGAACTTTCTGATGCAAGCTCAGAGTGCTCAGTTGACTCTCTTGAACCGCCGTTTGGACGAGGAAGAAGCCAGACGGAAAGCCGACGAGGATCGGCGAAAGGTGTCTTCGGACCCCTTTGCAGCTGCAGTGGCTGCTAGCAGTTCGGGAGCAGCGCCGACGGCGCCTACTGGGTCGCTTGTTGCCCCTCCGAGTGGGCCTGCTGCGAGTTCTGGAAGCTTTTCGAGTTTTGGTGGTCGTGCAGAGAAGTATCTGCCACCCCTGCCTCTCATCAATGCTGGTGAGATGAAGCAAGGCCGGATTCGGGAGCTTGTGAGGTGGACTTGTCCATCAGAATGAGATTAAGAAACATAACTTGCTCACATTTTCATGTGCCAATATCGAAAATGCTTTCCATTTGTTGAGTCGAGTTTCGACTCTTTTATGGATTGATTTTCATGTCACACAGTGATTTGTTTTACATGAATTTTTCATGTGCGGTTGTTGTTCCCTCATGATGGAGGAACAGATGACAATCAACATTCGTCCGAACCTTTGGGCTCGGCTCTGCGGAGTCCAAAAGGGGAGGGGGGGACTCATTTGTGTATGGGTCGGAGTGATCGTCATGCGCGATGGGTGACGAGGAGCCTCAGGAAGAGGCTGGCTCCAGTCTGTCGTGGCAAGACTTACCTGAGTGTGTCAAGAAGGCTCTTGATCAGGAGTCGCGACAGCCTTCTCCCGAGATTTTGTCGAATTTGTTTTCAGATGATTCAGACATCAAAGATTTTGTGGAATCACTGGGACTTACAATGGGCTCAGCTGAATGGTTCAGTGCATGCGAGATTCTTGAAAAGGTTTGCGCTGATGTATCACCGGCTGCAGATCGTGTCGTGAGGACAAGAGCTGTGCAAGGTCAGCTGGCGCAAACGTCCTCATCGTTTTCGGCTGGGCCTCAGCAGCAGCTTGAAGTAAGCACTGGATGGCTTCAGACAAGGGCCGGTGCAAAGCGGTCACTTACAGCGTGGCCGTGTCGGTTGGCCAAGAAACTTGCCTTGGCCAAGCACGATCGTGCGAGGGCCGATGCTGAGGCTACTGAGCTCCGACGCTGGAGGCAGGCTTTAGCGAAGGAGCTGAAAAGGGCTGGTATGCCGGTGTGCTCAATGGCAAGTTACGCCCTTGATAGCCAAGCTGTACTGGAGGCGTCAGCAGGAACGCTTAGAGCGTCCACTCTAAGGCGGCACGTGAGGGAATGGTCCAAGTTTTCGGCATGGTTTTTCGCTGTTGAGGGGACAGTGTTCCCCACGCATCTGGGCATCTTGATGAATTATGTGGAAGAGCTGGCGCAGGAACTTTGTGCCAGGACCAGGCTACAGTCTGTGCTCTCTGCAGTGATATTCTTCGAGAGGGTCGGAGGAGTCAAGGCCGAGGCCTCCATCTCTTCTCATGTCCTGGTGCGGAACTTGGTTCGGGTTCGCACTGCTGAGCTTGAAGCGGGGGCGCCGCCGACAAAGCAAGCTCCAGCATTGGCCCTCATCATGGTCATGTCTTTAGAGGCTGTGGTTGTGAATCCTGCGCATAAGAAGTTCGTCAGAGCGTATGCGTGGGCACGGCTATTGAAACTATGGACATCTAGCAGGGCCAATGACCTTCAGGGCATTCTACCAGAGCAGATGACGATGTCTTCACAAGGACTACGAGGAGTTTTCGATAGAACGAAAACCTCGGGAGCTGACAAACGCATCAGATGGCTGCCGTTCTTTGTTTGCAAGGATGCTTGGCTTTTGCATAGCGATTGGCTGGCTGCAGGATATGAGATCTGGGCTTCTGATGGTTTTGCCTTCTCCAGGGATTATCTGGTGCCTCGGCCTACAAAGGGGCTGACCTCCTGCCTGCCAGTTATGGCGAGCTATGTGGATATGTCAACGATGTCCAAGCAGCTCCTGTGGGAGCTAAAGCGGCCCGAGTTGACCGAGGCTGGGAGTGTGCGTCATACTGATGTTGCGCTCTTCGAGGATCCGAGTGTTGTTGCTGCTTTTACCGAACATTCCGAGAGAAACTTCATTGCCACACTTGCATCATGGTCGGGTATCGATCGCGAGCGTCGTTCCTACTTGGGGCGGTGGCATGTCGTGGAAGCCTCAGATGAGTACATTCGGAGTGCTTGGTTCATTGTCACTTCACTGCAGCGACATGTTATTCAGAGCCTTTGCAACAACCCCGCCTTTCTGGAGGTAGGTCTTGATGATTTGTTTCAGGCGCTACAGAGGGCCGGTGTCGAGAGCTCGGTGCGTGACAGGGCTCTTGACCTCTTGCGGCCGTTGGAGGGCTGGGCCGAGTTTCGGGCCCAACATCTTGCTGAAGGCAGCGGGAACGGCATCAAGCCTGGTGATCTTGTGATGCCTGCCAGGACTCCTGAGGTCAAGGACGCATGCAAGTTCTTTGTATCTGTTCTAGGAAAGAAGAAGCTGCGGCGGCTTCATCGTGTAGGTGGATGCGGCAGCACGCCCGAGTCTGTGGCAAACTGTGAGTTGTTTGAGTCGCTGGAGGGCGTTTCTTACGACTGGCAATGCAAGCACTGCTTCAAACCTGAGCAGGGACAGCAGGCAGCACAGGCGAATGCTTCGGGATCGGAGGACTTTTCCTCCAGCACCGCCGATGAGGCACAGACCTCAGGAGAGAGCTCGAGCGAATCGTGATTGCTCGGACTGCAAAATGTGTGCACACATGGAGTCGATCGTGTTCATGTTGAGAGTGCTACTGCTGCTTGCAAGTGTACGTCAAGGGATCATGCATCCACTTGCAAGTGTACGCCAAAGGATTGTGATCTCGAGCTGGGAAAGGAACGATCAGTTTCTTCATCACGCGTCTTGAGGGCCTCATGGAGCCGGAGCCTGCTTCAGAGCCGTCTGCTGAGCTTCACGAGAGGGAAAGCACAGATGATACTTTCTTGCTGCTTTCTGACCATGTGTGGGAGCTAGAGCAGCGGGTGGCAGTTCTGGAGCGGCGACTGATTGCGGTCGACCCGGTGCCTAGGGAGGACCTTCGGCGAGAGATCACAGGGATCTCACGAGCCTTTTTCGGGCTGGCCGATAGAGTATCGGGCCTGGAGCTTCGTGTCACTGAGCTTGTGAGGGCGCTTCGGAGTTGCTTCGCAGGATTGCGCGGCTAGGCTCCTGAATGCACAGTGTACTGCGACGCGAGGGAAGGGTGTCAGGCCTGGCAAACTTCGGTGCGTGCGCGAGTGATCGCATCAGCATGGTGAGATCGGAAATCAGCACAAAGGTTTCGCCGGTGACGGTTCAACCAGGGTGCGTTGCTGAATTGAGTTTGTCCTGCCTTGGGTTTTTAGGGCTTTCCTTGCGTCTCATGGCGGCGCCGGCTGCTCTGACGGCCGCGCAGAGAGGGCACTTGGAGACGTTGGGGCCGGATCTCAGGTTCCAGCTTGAGCAGGCGGATGTTCCGGCTGTGTGGCAGGCTAGGCTGGGAGAACTGGGGATCCGCAATGTGGCATTGTTCTCGGGGCTAGATGAGTCTCGGGAGCGGGTGAGAGCTGCACTGATTGCGGAGTTGCCCATCGATCCTACAGCGGGGGTTGCAGAGCGGCTCGTGGTTGCACGCCTATTGGCGGCTTGGGAAGCATCCAGGCTTCACTTGCAGGTTTCGGAGAGAAACAAAGCTGAAGCGCGGCTGGGGACTCAGCAGCGACTTGTGCAGCCTAGTGAGCATCATGCCATGCGGCTAGCAGTTGAAGCATCGCTCGGAAAGTTGAAGGACAAGGAGGTTCCTGCCAAGTCCTTGCTAGCGGCCAAGCTAGAGCAGATCGAGAACAATCAGCCGGTAGCCGAGCTGCTTACCGAAGTGGCGTCTCTCGAGGATTCAGAACTTGAGGCGTACTCGGCGGTGATCGATCCTACTACCAACGTGCTCAAAATAAAGCCTGGGAAGACCCTTACTGGCATGCCCAACAATCCTGAGGAGCTGCGGTTGCGCCACAGACGCATCGGGCTAGCTTGGGACTTCTTGGCTACCAAGCATGCTCTCAGGCCCTGGCTGTCTAGAAACTCCACAGATGTCCTGCGGAGGTTCAGTGATTATGTGTTGGGCTCACAAGTTGCTGGATTGGTGGCTGGTGACGGGCACACTCCAACTTGGGAGCTCGTCTTAAGCTTCGAGCTCGAAGCTCGCAAAACCCTCTATCGCTGGATCAGGGACGGCGAGGTGGGCACTATCGAGGAAGCCTTTACAAAGGCCATGCATGATATGGAGCTTCTCAATCGACATCTTGTCATCCCTTTCTCGCTTCGGGCCGTGCCGCCTCCCCCGTCTGTTCCGGCAGACTGGAAGCGCGAGTCCAAGGGAAAGGGCAAAGGCAAAGCCCTGAAACGTGCACTGGCTGCTGCAGCAGCCGAGGAGGCCCCTGGCAAGAAGGCTGCCAAGCTCATGAAGACTCCAGATGGCAAACCAATTTGTTGGAAGTTCAATCGGAAAGAAGGGTGCAAGAACAGCGCCTGTCGCTTCCTTCATGTATGTCAACGTTGTCTCGGCAAACACCCTTATCATGCTTGCACGCAAGTTCGTCGTCCGGAGGCGGCTACAGCATCTAACTGACTCTCGGACGGCGGCGACACCGAGGAGAACGTCTCTCAAGGACTCGATTCTCCCACAATCCGACATTTCTTCTCTCTATCTCTTCGCGGGAGAGTCTCGCCGGGCTGACTTGAAATCATTCCTGGCGGCTGCCTGCGAGAAAGCCGGGCTGTCATTCCGCTATCAAGAAGTTGATATCGGGGAATCGGCTCCGGATGTTCTTTCAGATTCTTTTTGGTTGAGATTGCTCAATCAAGTTCGACGACATGAATTCAATCTTCTTTTCATGAGCCCGCCATATTCTACATTCAACCGGGCCACGTTCGTCAATCGCACAGGACCGCCGCCTCTGCGGAACTCGGACTGGCCGGAAGGTTTTCCCTGGCTATCCGGTGTATGGAAATCCAAGGCAGAAGCTGGAACGAGTTTGGTGCGCCGGGTATTGTCCTTAGCCACCCTGGCCACCAAGGAGCATGTACCCTGGTTGATCGAGCATCCGGAATTTTTGGGTACTACAGCGGCTGGCACCCCGGCTTCGATCTGGACTTGGGAAGAAGCTGTTCGTGTTTTCCAGGAGACTCGCGCCACTTCGGTGGCCCTTCATCTTTGTGCCTTCGGCGCCGCTCAGAGGCGGCCGACACGATTAGCTGGAACCTGGCACGGTCTACGATCGGTTGGTGTATCCGGTTGGCCGCGACTCGACCCTCAGCAGCACTATCGAGGGCCGTTGTCTCGCAAATGCGGTCATGCACATGCCCCTCTCATCGGCACCGACGAAAATGGTCAATTTCTCGCCGGGCCGGCTGCTTACCCTTCGGGCTTCTGTGAGGCGCTGGCCAGTATTGCGGTTCTCACCTTCAGGCAAAGAGTGTCCTCCGAATCGGTGTTGGGGGAGGAGCAAGCTCGTTCTTCAGACACTCTTGAGAATGCGACTTCGACAGCGGTGGTCCATCAGGCTGAAGCTCTGGCAGGGCGCTTGCAACACTCGGCGGTCTCGAAGGAGTCTTTGCTTCAGATCTTCGACTTGCTTCCCGGCGAAGAATTGGCCCGAGATGGTGTCACTTGGAAGGATTCGAAATCTTTTGCTGTCGGGGCTTATGCCGTGGGCGGTAGCCTTGCCGGCCTTCGTAGGAACTCCAGGTTGTTTCCCGGGGTGGTTAGGGTTTTGTGTAGGTTCGTTCGGGGTTTGGACGCGAGCTTTACATTCTCTGCCATTGCGATTTTTCGCAACCTTCAGACGGCCCCGCATCGAGATACAGGCAATGAGCGAGGATCGAGAAATCTCGTGGCAGGGCTCACGTCCTTTCGGGGCGGGGGCATCTGGACTCAGGATGGCGGAGGTCAAGAACCGTGCCCTTCGAATCCCTCATTAGGCTTGGGACATACTCTCGAGTTAGATGATGGCTGTCACGCTTGCTTCGATCCCACCGCTTGGCACTGCACGCAGGCTTGGGAAGGAACTAGAACAGTACTCGTGGCATACACCCCTCGGGTGAATCCCTCCTTTCCTTCGGCCGACTGGAGGTTTCTGGAGGAGCTGGGGTTCAACTTGCCACCCCAGCCGGGGGTTGCATCCTTGCCACGCGCGGTGAAGCGCATCCTGGAGGACAACAACTGTTGTTGATATGGGCTTCCATCGGTGACTACAGAATAATGCGTAAGAACAGGCGATAGCTCCATAGCAATACTAAGTAGTTCAGTTCTTTGATCGCGACCGTTGTCGCCGACCAGCTTTCACAGCTTGAACGTTTGAGCCTTTTAGGGTACGATAAGGACCGCCTAAACCGGGATCGGGAAAACGCTAGGGAAACCAAACGACCTAAAGAATCACTACAACCTGAATGCCAGTCAGTGCGCCCGCGCACTGAAGGAACTCTGCAATGTCGTGCTTCTCTGTCTGATGCACTGAAGGAACTCTGCAATGTCGTGATCTAATGCAGACGGGCTTTCAGTGCTTCTGGCTTCCGAGGGAGTTAGAGCTTCACGAAAGGTGTTCACCGAAGGGACGCTCTGACAAAACCCTGAACTTCCAAAACCCCTCTCACGGTCAGTGGCCTTTTGTCGTTCTTGAGCCATCGCAGTTTCGTCGTGTAATGGCTTTGAGACATGCTTGGCGCCTTCGAGACAAGCATATGTCGTTTGCAAAAACATGCACGCGAACAGAAGTGAGAATCCCTTGCACTAGACCTTTACATGGCTGCCCCGTAGCCTTTCCGCTTTCTTTTTTCGAGGTCTTCTTTCTGTTCTTGTTTCGGGCCAGTGCCCATCTTCCTACTCCTACCGCACAGCACTCGAACACGTACGTGTGTCATGTATGCATGTGCGGTGTTCAAAGAGTAGATAAAAGAATTGGTTCGCAAGAGATATTAATTAGATACTTCAAACACGTAGCTCAACAGCCTAGCCAAGGCATCAGTGAGCATATAAAAGCATCATGGACATCTGGGGTTTCCTAGAACACTCCTCCTTTCCAGCTGTTCGTGAGGAACGGCCTGCTGGAACTTTCAACCCCAGTGTCACATGATTGAACGGTAGCGCTGGACTATTCCTTCGGCGCTAAAGAACTTTGAAAAACTCAGTGGCCCATCCGACTCGTCAAGACTCCCAAACGCCTTCGAAGTCTCTCTAAGCGGGCCCTTGGCAAGACCTTGGTAAGTGCATCCGCCACTAGATCATCCCCTGCTTTCCACAAACATTCAATCTCTGCCAAGTCTGCGTCGCGGTAGCCGCGGTGCATCATGTCCCTGACCCAAGCACACCTCATAGCGTAATGCCGAGTTCTCCACGTAAGAGGGTTAAAGTCATTCCTTGTGATCGAAGTAATCGCTGCCGCATTGTCTCCAGCTAACACTAGCCGCGGCCTGTGTCCGGTCAGGGCTTTGATTAAGCCTGCGATACGAGTGGCTTCGAAAAGAGCTGTCGCGCATGCATCGGTTTCAGCTTCACAAGTCGAATACGCCGTAAGATTCTGCCGACACGATTTCCAGAAAACAAGGTTCTGACCTACACTAATAACCAACCCCGTTCTAGACCTAGAACCTGCTGGCCCAAGGCTGGCATCGGACTCCGCATAGATGTCCAAGGATCCTCCTTCATGATGAATCATCTCTGACCACACTGTAGCTCTCAAGTATCTCCAAACGCCCTTTGTAGCATGATACACCCACTCGGGATTCCAAGTCTGCAATGATGCCAATATTCCAACGCATGCCTGGATGTCAGGACGAGTCTTCAAGCCCAACCACTGAAGGCATCCAATCTCCCCTTGAGCCTTCTTGAGGTGCTCTGCAAAGCCCTTCGTGTCCTTCGGCATCAAAGGAATCTGTGTAGCATCAATCTGCGGCAAAGATTCGCTCCCCTTAAGGTGTACATAGCCTCGACGATGAAGTTCCCTGATCAGCCACTTCCGTTGGGAAACATGCACCCCATCCTTTTCAAGCGTGACCTGTGTCCCCAAGAATGTGATCTCATCGACTTTCTTGATGACCTCGTCGCCATCCTTAATCTCAGAATCTGAGCTTCGTGAAAGAAACCCTTGTACCTGGCATTTCCATGTCTGCGCAATCAATCGCTTCACCCTCA